CAAAAAAAAAAAAAAAAAAAAAAAAAAAAGACAGCAGAATCCAAGGTTGCCACACTCTGTGCCACACAGGGGAGATTTGTGTCTTTGGCAGGAGCTTGTAAAATTGAAAACTTGAGGTTTTCCACTCCTTTGAGCTCTGCCTGTCTAGCTCCTGACAACTGAACCAGGGCAATGTTTCTTAAGGTACGGTCAGGGTCACCCTTATCAGAATCACCAGCAGTGCTTGTTAAAGAAAGTCATACCCAACACATACTGAGCCTTTAGTATGTGCCCTTAGGCATTATTCAAAATGTGAAATTCACTGAATTCTCAGAGTCAGTTCCCTGATGGAAGTATACTGTTATCATCCCCATTTTACAGATACGGAAGGGGAGGTACTGAAATGCACCTGGTACTACCTACTCAAGGTCACACAGCTGAGATGAGACAGAGCTCAGCTTTGCACAGCCAGTGGGAAAGCTCCTGGGTGGGACTCCAGACACAGAACTAGGAAGTCTAAAGGTGAGGCCCAGGAATCTGCCGAGGTCACTGGCACACAGAGAAGTCTCAGAGCCGCTGGATTCAGTGCTGTGCTACCTAGAGCCCTTGGGCCCCTAAAATCCGTGATCCTGCGGACCAAAGTCTCACCTCTGCCTTCCCTGCACTGTGGATTGTCAGGACCTTTGAGGATAAAATCCAGCTCACCAGGTCCCAGGCCCATTTGTGGTTGTCTCCGGAGGACTGGAGGAGTTCTTTCAGGTTAGGTAACCTGCTGGCATCTGCGAGCTGAAGCAAGGGAAGAACCTCCATTAGCAAGGATCCGAGACACGGTGATCACCAGGGGCCCTCTAGTGGGAAGGCAGGCAACGTTCACTCCGTCCACATCTCCAGGGATCTCCTGGGAGGACATTCACAGGTCTATAATCCCCTTTCCAAATAATATTTAACTCTACAAGCTCTAAACTCTGAGCTTGTTTAGAGCTTGTGGAGTTAAATATTATTTGGTGGGTTTTTGTTTTGTTTTGTTTCTGAGACAGGGTGTCACTTTGCCATCCAGGCTGGAGAGCAGTGGCATGATGTCGGCTCACTGCAACTGCTGCCTCCTGGGTTCAAGCAATTCTCCCACCTAGGCCTCCCGAGTAGCTGGGACTACAAGCGTGCGCCAACACACCCGGCTAATTTTTCTGTTTTTTGGTAGAGACAGGGTTTCACCATATTGGCCAGCCTGGTCTCAAGCTCCTGACCTCAAGTGATCCATCTGCCTTCCCAAAGTGATCCTTGGCCTCCCAAAGTGCTGGAATTACAGGCATGAACCACCCTGCCCAGCGCTGGTGGTTTTTAACTCTTTGGGTAACAAACCTGACCTGAGCTGACGTGAGATTTAGTCTTTATCCACTTCCTGTTAACAATTGACGCATTTTGCTACAGGAATACTAAGGTGTCATGAGTACGGCATGCCACCTGCTGGAGGTGTGACTGAATACGTGATATACGCACATGTGGGTAAAGCACTACGTTACAAAGCCTTTTCTCTTCTGTGTGACAATTAGTTAACTTCTGTTAAATTGTTCCCCTGGAGACTGGATAAAGGCAGTATGACAACTACATACATCACCACGCAACACTGCTTAGGGTAAAAAAGACCCGGCATGGGCCGGGCATGGTGGCTCATGCCTGTAATCCCAGCACTTTGGGAGGCCAAGATGGGCGGATCATGAGGTCAAGAGATCAAGACCATGCTGGCCAACATGGTGAAATCCCGTCTCTACTAAAAATAGAAAAAAATTAGCTGGATGTGGTGGTGCGTGCCTGTAATCCAGCTACATGGAAGGCTACGGCAGGAGAATAGCTTCAACCAGGGAGTTGGAAAGTCAGAGATTGCAGTGAGCCAAGATCGCATCACTGCACTCCGGCCTGGCGATAAAGTGAGACTCTGCCTCAAAAAAAAAAAAAAAATCCAGCATGGTACACTGCATCTGGCCTGGGAGGAACTGCAAATGGGGACTGCATTGCATGACTTTGGGTTTCCCAGAGTGTGACAATGTTTTGTGGAAACGCTGGCAGCTTTGCTGACATTCTCACGAGCGAGACCAGCCTCTGAGGAAAATGGAGCTTCGCTTAGGCCAGAGCAGTTCCTGCACCCACCCCATGTGGATCCCATCTCTTTACTCCCACGTTTTCACTTCTGGGGCAAAGACTAGCTCTTGGACCTCTGTGAGGACCACTGCAAGGACTTCCACAGAAACAGAATGCCTGATGCCGTGCTGCAGAAAGCTGTCATCAGTCCTAGAGCCTTTGGATTTAGGCTGATGCCCTGCGGGACTTGGGACAGGGCTCAGCTTAGCTGGCATTGCAGCACATTATTTACCATTCTAAAATCAGGAAGAATCTGAATCCTGAAACATATTCAGTGCCAGGATTTCTGATAAGGGACTGGGGACCTGGACTACAGTTAACAACAAAGTATCTGTAGCTTTTGCTCAGAAGTGATGAATGACTAGAGGATAAAGCTCTCCAGCATGGCATTTAAGACACCTCTAGCCTAATCTCCACCCTTTACCATCCCCTCCGTCACAGACTGGCGCTGTCCACGATCATGTGCTGTTCCAAGGATACCCCTTCCCTCACCTCTACTACCTGGGCACTTCTGGCCCAAGAGAGCACTCTCTCCTCTAGCCCCTGAAAGCCTGCTGCCCCAATACTCCCTTCCCAGTATGGCCAGCTCCTGGAGGTCAAGAACTGTCTTGTGTTTTTCCAATTCTCCGCTTTCCTGGATGCAGAGGAAAAAGCATGAGCTCCAAAATCACATCTCAGTTGCAATCTCTGTTGAACTTCTACCTCCTCTCCAACATGGGAACCACCCCACCTCCCCATGGGGCTGTCAGGAAGACTGAAGACGGTAACGGAATCTCAAGGCTTGGTCTATATATGTCCATTTCTTTTCATTTATATTACTCCCAGACAACACCGTCCTCCCAAACCCTGGCAACCTTTCCTTCCGCTCTGCGAGGGCTGTAGTTGGTACTTCAAGAATACCTGTGGTTCTTTTCCATTTTTTTCTAGAAAATTGACTGTTACTGACTTTGGGGGTTTTTCTTAGCTCTATAGTTGAAAATTAGAAACAGGGCAAGCTGTGGGGGTTCATGCCTATAATCCCAGCTACTCAGGAGGCTGGGGTGGATCTCAAGGCCAGGAGTTAGAGACTAGCCAGGGAAACACAGTGAGATGCCTCTAAAAATAAATAAATAAAAATTAAAAACATTTCAGGGCCACTTTATTTCTATTTCCAGAGATTCCATCAATAGCCTCATATACCTGTAATAAAACTATCTCTACAGGCCTCATGAAGTATCAGTAAAAATCTAATATTTATTAAAAGAAAAAAAATTTTTTTGTCAACTGATCATAGGGAAAAAAAGAAAGAAAAAAAATTGTTTTGGAGACAGGGTCATACTGTTACCCAAGCTGGAGTGCAGTGGCACAAACATGGCTCACTGCAGGCTCCATCCCACCCCCACCCGAAGTGATTCTCCTGCACAGCCAGGACGACAGGCATGTGCCACCATACCCAGCTGATTTTATTTTAGTAGAGATGAGGTCTCACTATGCTGTCCAGGCTGGTCTCAAACTCGTGAACTCAAGTGACCCTCCTGCCTCAGCCTCCCAAAGTGCTGGGATTACAGGCATGAGCCACCAAGCCCAGACTAATTTTTTTCGAAAATGGATGAATCCAGCACAATAGCTCACGCCTGGTCACCCCAGTACTTTGGGAAGCTGAGGCGGGCAGGGCTCTTCGGCTCAGGAGCTCAAGACCAGCATGGGCAATAGGGCAAAAATCTCATCTCCACACACAAAAAAAACAGCCAGGAATGGTGATATACACCTGTAGTCCCAGCTACCTGGGCTGAGGTGGGAAGGTAGCTAGAGAATGCGGTGAGTCACAATCGTGTTACTGCACTCCGGCCTGGGTGACAGAGTGAAACCCTCACCTAAAAATAAAAAATAAAAAAATAAAGGGACATATGGAGTATAAATCTTCCATGAGTACTGGTGCTATTTCTATGCCTTGCTTACTGTTCCACCCTGCCTGCTTCGCCCCCAAGCTGCGAAGCCTTGTATTATTCAGGGAGCAGTTACTAAGCATCTACTCTGTGCCAGGCCCTGTGCTTGTAGGAGGGGGCATTAGATTTTATTTATTTTATTTTATTTTATTTATTTATTTTTTTTAGACAGAGTTTCGCTCCAGGCTGGAGTGCAATGGCGCGATCTCGGCTCACCGCAACCTCTGCCTCCTGGGTTCAGGCAATTCTCCTGCCTCAGCCTCCTGAGTAGCTGGGATTACAGGCACACACCACCAGGGCATTAGATTTTAAAAGGGCCCCTAGTCAAGTGGGGGGGCAGAAAGGTAAATAATTAAAACTTAAAAGTATTCACTGTTGGCCAGGCGCAGTGGCTCACACCTATAAAGCCAGCACTTTAGGAGGCCGAGGCAGGCGGATCACAAGGCCAGGAGATCGAGACCATCCTGGCCAACATGCTGAAACCCCATTTCTACTAAAAATACAAAAAAATTAGCTGGGCGTGGTGGTGCACACCTGTAATCCCAGCTACTCAGGAGGCTGAGGCGGGAGAATTGCTTGAACCCAGGAGACGGAAATTGCAGTGAGCCAAGATCGCACCACTGCACTCCAGCCTGGGCAACAGTGCGAGACTCCGTCTCAAAAAAAAAGTATTCATTGTCACCGGGCGTGGTGGCTCATGCCTATAATCCCAGCACTTTGGGAGGCTGAGGCAGGCAGATCACCTCAGCTCAGGAGTTCAAGACCAGCCTGGCCAACATAGTGAAACCCCATCTCTACAAAAAATACAAAAATTAGCCAGGTGTAGTGGCAGGCGCCTGTAATCCCAGCTACTTGGGAGGCTGAGGCAAGAGGATCCCTTGAACCTGGGCGGTGGAGGTTGTAGTGAGCCGAGATCCCACCACTGCACTTCAGCCTGAGGAACAGAGCAAGAATCTGTCTCCAAAAAAAGTATTCATTGTCATAACAAAGACGGATACAGACTACTAAGAGGACAAGGTGGGACTTCTGTTGGGTAGGGGCTAAAGGAAAAGGAGGTGGGGGTGGGGTTGGGACCAGCTTCACAGAGGAGTGCTGTGTGATCTGGGTTTGCTATACAATACCACAGAAGTATGAGAATGCAGTGTGTAGCTGGGGAAGTGGACGGTGGCACGGTTAATTGTGTGTAGCTGGGGAAGTGGGTGGTGGCACGGTTAATGGCGTGTAGCTGGGGAAGTGGGTGGTGGCACGGTTAATTGCGTGTGGCTGGGGAAGTGGACGGTGGCACGGTTAATGGTGTGTAGCTGGGGAAGTGGACGGTGGCACGGTTAATGGCGTGTGGCTGGGGAAGTGGACGGTGGCATGGTTAATGGTGCAGGTTCTCTTCCCAGGCATCCGGGGCTCTTATTCCTCTACTAGCTGTGTGACCTTGAGTGAGAAGTTTGACTTCCTGTGTCTCAGCTTTCTCAAATACATAATTGGGATAATATTAGTAGCCACTTCACAAGGTCCTGGTGGAGATTAACCAAGTTAAACAAGTGCTCAAACCAACAGGAAAGTATTAACTACTCTAATGTTAGTGTGACTGCCCCTGGTGTCGTCATTCGCAACAGGTGATTCTGTGTGGCTGGAGCCTAGAGTGTGGGGAAGCAGTTGCCAGGAGGAAGAGGAGTGGGAAGGTGACCCCACGTGAGGTCATCTCAAATGATCCTGCAAAGGACCTTGTAC